GAGGGTGTAAATCTTTACGGGAGTAGAAAGCCTCATCTTTCTCCCCCGGAGGGGCTGGTAGTTTCAAACCGCTGACCTTAAGGTTCACAGCCCGATTTGTAACCACTACACTACCAGAGCTCCTTGCAACCATTCACGGATCATGGAGACATGTTTTAACACATTTTATTTGGAATAAGTTCATGCATGTATGACCTAGAATCCTAGTAGCAGTACTTTTGGATTTCCATATATATATGTGTGTGTGTGTGTTAAACAAAATGTGTTAAAACATGTCCCCATGATCCGTGAATGGTTGCAGACAAGATCTTTCAATAATACATTTGTCTTAGTCTTGTTTGTGTGCCTTAGAAAAAATCCAAAGCAGAGCGGTCAGCTCAGAGGTTATGATAATTGTGTTTTGGATTCCAAAAGAGGAATCTTGATGGAGTTTCTTGAAAGACACAGGATGATCATGGGGGCTTATTAGGAAGAAGTTTCAAGAAGATGGAAAACTGCATTGGTGTGAAAATGATCAGAAAAGTTATGCCAAGGAATTCTTTTCTTTTTTTAATTACTACAGTGCACCTGTTCATTCCTCAGCAAGGACTGTCCTCCAAGAATTTTCTTGGGAAACCTTACCTCATCCACCCTATAGTCTTGATTTTGCTTCTTCAGATTTATTTTTGTTCCCCAAACTAAAAGAACATTAATTAGAAGCACAATTTTAGTCCCTTGATAATGCCAAGACTGCCATTCTGAGATGGTGAAAATCAAAGAATCCAGAATTCTTTGGGGAAAGATTAGAGAGAAGAAAGCACCACCCTCAGAAGTATACAGACCTAGACAGATGACATGTAAGGCAACAATAGTTGTTGTTAAGTGGTTTTAGTCATTCTGACTCATAGCGACCCTGTATAGGGTTTCCAAGGAGCAATTGGTGGGTTTGAACTGCTGACCTTGTGATTTTCAGTCCAGTGCTGATCCCACAGTGTCACAGCTTAACATTTTCATATTTTTGTTTATAAAGGTTTTTACAATTTTATAGCAATACTTTTATACTTACCCTTGTATGTAATTGTTTTTGTTTGTTAAGTGCTGTTGAGTCTATTTCAACTCATAGTGACCCTGTATAGGGTTTCCAGAAGCAACTGGTAGGTTGGAACCAGTGACTTTGAGGTTAAAGGCAACCTTGTGGTTATCCTATAGCACCACACCAGGCTAAATGTACAAAATTCTATATATGTCTATAATTAACTATATTTAGTGATTCTTCTGGGTCATCCCCAATGGCTGTAGGGCTTAACTCTGCATGCTTCCTAATAATACTGCAAGTTCACACAGCCAAAGATACATGATTAGTTTTCTTTAAAATGCTAACATTATCATTCTACTTAAAACAGTCTATGTTGTTACTATTGTTGTTGTTAAATGCAGTTCTGACTCATAGTGACCCTGCATAGGTTTTCCAAGACTGTATTTTTGTGGGAACAGAAAGCCTCATCTTTCTCTCACC